GTTTTGTTCTTCAATCTCGACCTGAGTTTCACTTGGGGCTTCTTCAACTTGACCCGCTTCCGTACCACTTTGCACGTTTTCTTCTCGGTTGGTCACACCAATTCTTCTTAATCGACCTCGACTTCTCTGCCACGTCCTACTTTCTGGATTGACTTGCTCAGCCATTCACGTTGCTGTTGACTTCTTCAAGTAACTTGAGATCCTTCGGTGCACTCTGTTGGACCTTAACTTGATTGCGTTACTGCGGATGTTGCACTGTACTTGGCTCCACACTTATACGTCTTTACTCTCACTGTACTTGGCACGGCTTCTTGGACAAACGATGCCACTCAGGCAACTTAACCTGGACTCACTGATGGTACCTTAGATCTGTGTCTGTACCTTAGATGGATTACTCCTTGAGAGGAACTGTACTGGCCTCTACACTGGACGTTGACTTGGCTTGAGAGGGATTTCTTGACTTACTTCGAGTTACGGGACGTTGACTTCTCACGTTGACTCCCGACTCTTGACTCGACTTTCTTAAAAGGGAGTTCCGAATCGTACCGTGACTCGGAACTGCGACTGGAATCGATGTGCGACTGGACTCAATCGATGTGTGACTGGACTCACGATCAGTGACTTGATCGGTGACGTCACTCAACCACGACTGGATTATCGTATCGAGCTGTTGTTGTTGATGGCCTGAGAGTTGCGCGACGCAGACTGAACTTCGGCAGTGTTACCAATGCCGTGTCTTTGTCAAACAATTCTCGAGCCTCAACTCCTTGACGATTCGATGAACGATGAACGACACACCTCGACGTTAACTTCGAAGTTTGCTGGAGGTGTCTTTACACTTGTGGCTTAGATAAATTATGATAGCTATCTAGGTTGTATTCCCATAGGTAGCCTTCTGTTTCAGCCTTCTGTTTCATACTGGGTGAGTATGGCACACATGTAGATGTACACAGGAACACAGCATAACTGGAACACTGGTACTCAACCTGAACCCCACAATCATAGCATCATAGCCTCTGTCATGAATACCGGCCTATAACATTGGGTAGCAGCCTCGGGAGAAAGTAGCATGTAAAACTGGTCCAATCTGCCTCCCGCAAATCGGCATCCCAGCTCAAATTTGGAAGCAACGTCCTTGGGTATCATCTTTTCCACATGGATATAAAGACATTGGCTTATGAAAACAAACAAACAAACAAACAAAATAAAGTTGATGAAAAGGATTGAGGAAAAGCAAAGTATTATTCCATGACCCAAAACCAATGCAGACCAAAATAACAATATGTTTGCGGAAACTTACCCATGACTGGTGTATGATAGAATTTGCTGGTGACATTGGAGGGAAAGGCACCGACGGACAAGGAGGTGAAATGTGCAGACTGTGCCAAATCTGCCATGCCCGATCCATACTGAAACCCTTGACACTCAAAGATATCCACCTTTCCCTTGCGAATGACCTCAAAGCACGGATGGGTAGCATACATGGCATAGAATGCTCCCTTGACAATAATTTCTACATTTTTGGGATCTCTCCACACGGATGCTCGATACTTGGGAGAATCCATGACCATGACCGACAAGCCTGTTTCTAGATTGAACATGTAGGACATCCATACGCCGGGTAGCAGTTCCACCATGTCTTGGATGCTTCGGACACCGTCTTCGTATGTCAAGAGAATGCTATACTCTTGCCGGACTTCTTGCATCTTGTACACCCTCGACACAGCCCAATCCACGTCTCCCATCATGGTAAGTTGACGTACATGAAATCGGACAGATTATCCACATCGGGAAGACATTCAATGGCTTCCTTTACATTTACGGCAAACTCTCTCTCCTCCGACGAAAGCTTGAACAAGGCTGGGTCTATCTGCAGGTGGCACTCCTCTTTGGCTTTTAGTTTGATATCCTTTTCTTCGCTGTTGTCCGTCTTCATCTTGCGTCTTTATCATCTGCTATTCCTGTTATGTTGGGGTTCGCTGGCAGTTTTTTTTGTTGTGTGTATGCGTATATTTTTAAAAGTGGCATGCCCTTTCGCTGGGTGTAGTCCTAAGTTGGTGTGTATACAGTATTTAAGAGCTATTTAAGTGGCAGTGCCGTTGCAATGTGTGCTGATTCAGCTGTTTATTCAATGTCGCACTTTACCTTGAAGCTTGAAGGTTACTCGAGTACTCAGTACAGTAAGCCATACTATTAATAGTGGAGGCATACCGTCGTACTGTACACGGTGGTACATGTACTACATAGCTAGTACATGTAGTAGTGTGTTCTTATTTTATTACACACTTTATCTTCATTTACCTTGCTGACGGCTACCGCTACGGTGGTACTCAGTACTCAGTACTGTAGAGCTACTGTAGCGTGTTTTTTTTTAAAGTTTAGTTACACTTTACCTTGAAAGTCGGTGGTATAGTTCTTACCGGTACCGTACCGGTTCACCGATACATGAAGACTGCTTGGAATCCAGGAGCGTGCCTCCAGGACTTACCGGTTTGGGAGAGTCTACTTTCAAACCTTAAATCCTCATGCATGGATTCATCTACCTCATGGATAAGATAGATAACTTTATTCTGAGTCCTGTACTACAGAGGATCTTAAAACTTACTACAGTACTGCAGCAGTAGTTTCAGAAGGCTGCTGAATTCCCTTTTCTATTTATTTTTGGTCGTGGTTGGAATCAATTGTTGATCCAATACCGTACTGATGCTTCAGTCCGGAATCGAATATTGTACAACGTTTATGAGAAAGTGGAAGCTCCAAATGGGCAAAAACGTTTCGTCAGTCTATGCACATAGGTATTACCTGTAGACTGACGAAACGTTTTTGCTGGATTGATGACTTCCTCATCTCACAGAGTTTGCACAGACGATTGGATTGACTGAAATCGCTGATTTTCATGGGATTTCGAAAATGTGAGCGCAAAATGTGAGGCTTAGTTTTAAACTAGATGGCCGGCTCTCCAGTCACAGAAAGTCTTTTGAGTTTTGGATTTAGCCGTTGCATCCAAAGTAAATCGCATCCCACCATGGGCATCTATTTTCGTTCATGTGTGCACGATCAGTCAACATGTTCTTCTTGTTGACACCTTCCGTCACTCCTCTCACAACACACAAGAGTGACACCAACTCCTTCCGAGTGACCTCTTCAATGGCGTCCGAATGATATTTGACTTTCCGAATGAAGTTTCCACCATGATGCATTGCCTCTTTGTCAGATGGGATCGATATTTGGGAGCATGTGGAAGATGGCACGAACCACTGAAAGAGGAGCAACAGCCGCGGATTCAACTGACGAAGATCGCATCCGAATCAGTCGGAGGCATCTCCATTCTTCATTTTTCAGATTGCATCTCATTATTTTGACTATCGACACTTTACAGGGAAAACTCTGCAGGAATCGTTGGAGCGAAATGGCTCTTCATTATCTTTCTGACCGACCATGGGGATCGGCCGTTCGGTCTGCCGTCGTTTCATTGGGTACCGCCGCTTGTGCTGTCACGTACAAGGATCCACGCTCGCTCCGCCATCCAGCCACCAAGCCAACGTCGCTTCCTCTCCCTTTGTTGTTAACTTGACTTCAAGATTCGATCCACGCCGCTGTTATCTCGAGTCTCCACCATCCTTCCACCATGCCGAATCCCAATCCGGTTGCCCCAAAGCGCCGCAAGGGCAGGAGATTGAGTGCCAAGAAGAAGAAGAGGAAGAAGCCGGCTCAACAGACTGTCACTCCGTCTCCTCATGAGGAAGCAATAGCAAAGCGTGTCAAGCGTGCGAGTGATGTGGCTGAAGCTTTGGGGATGAGTCCAACCCGTCGTTCTCATCATGCTCGTCTTGCAGATCTTTCCTCGGATGAGGAGGAGCCCCTCCGGTCCTTGGCGGATCGCCTCAAGCCTGACGAAGACTCAATGGAAGAAGAAGACTCGGAGCCTGATCCTGACGATGACGACGACATGGATTACATTCCGGATGAGCAAAAGGTCAAGGCTGCTTTGGCGCAGATATTGCCAGAGGAGAGGGCGAAGAAGATGGCTATTGCATATCTTTATGCTTACAAGTATGCATTCCACGAGGACACGAAAGACACTCCATGGATTGGCATCAACGGCACGCAAGTCAAGATCCGCAGAGACTTGTACGAAGAAAGCAACCGGACAAAGTATGTTGACGTCTTCACCGACTTGCATCATTGCTGCGAGCAACACATTGTCTACACTGGCCAGCGGGTTCATGCTGGACTCAAGCCCGTCATCATCCCAAACAATTCGTTTGA